GGATAGACATAATCGTTATGGAACTCAAAAGGCACTGAGAAGTAATTATCCAGAGGTGCTGTGGATAACTGACTGAACTCAACATTAAAGAGGACATGACTGTTCATTAATGACGATTTGAAAGCTTGGGACAAGACTATTAATGACCCTCTATGTTCTCGACATTCACAGAGACAGTCATCATTACAAAATATTAATGATTATGGCGCTGACTATATATCATTGAAAAATTCCAAGATTATTCTTCTCGATAAGTAAAAACCTAGGAATAAGTGTCAAGTAGAATCAGATATATTCAATGATTGGGGATAGGGATATAAGTGTTTGGCATGCCCTGAGCTATCATCCGATCGCCTGTAAGAATTTAAGGGAAAAACACTCATTGTGTATAGATAAGAGTATGAACCATTAAATGTTGAGATGAGACTTAAAACTCCTACACTAATTGTTAGTTCAAGTATAAATACCCCTCAAAAAGACGAACAAAGGTACGCAAAACTAAAGCCAAAAAATACATTGTGCTATTGTCTCTAATGTTGACTGACTTGAATTTCGGAGAAGATTAGTCGGGTGTTCACCCGACCCCTTTATTAACTTTTTGATTGTTTCAGATTCATCCTCTAACGAATCGTTACCTCTATTAATTGTAAGAATTCTCCCGTGCAGCAGGCATCTACACTCATGACCAACTAATTTCGAGATGGTGCTTTTAATAAAAAGGCACAGTAGTGGCAGATGCTTATCATGGCCAATATCTAGCTATTAGAGAACAGAACAGAAAACTCTAGAAGAGATTGAGACGAAATGGCAGGCGAGGCAATCAATTCCCGGGCAAATTGGATACATATGCGGCAACAAGAGAAAAAGAAGACCACACATACAGTATTTTTTTGGAGAGATTGAAGGGTACCTCCATTGAATCCGATTCTTCTGTGACCCACCCTACTGTCTGTCTACTTAAATTAGGGTACAACTAGGGCAGATTGGACGAGTTGAGAAGTCAATGTTAATTCAACTTTAAATATATAATTTTTAACCTTAATCTTAAATCTAACCTGATTTCAACCGAAATATTCAACTCAAATATTGTCTAAGTTAAATTCGGGTGGATTTGAGTTGAATTAAGGTGACTTAATTTGGGTTGATTTTGAGTTGAGTTCATTAAAATGAATTGTGAAATGTGAATCCTAATTATAAGTAATGCTATTGAATCTATTGATTTATATATTTATTTTTAAATATATTTGGGTTGAGTTCGATTTATATTTTTGGGGTGAACTCAAAAATTCGAGTCTTCAATCCGGATATTGTCTAAATTTAATTCGGATTGGTATTTTTAAGTTTAAATCTAACCTAAGTATTAAAAATCTCTATCCAAATCTTGTTTTTCTCGAATTGTACTTGGGTTGAATTCAAGTCTGTCTGGCCAAGTTACATCCCTAACACAAACCACAATAGTTGGATATTCTGTATGAAACATTCCTGAGGAGAAGCATCAAACTTTACATTCTAAAAACAGCATTGAGTTGAGAAAATGTAACCATGAATGGGCTTCAACTATGTTCTCAGAGACGTATCTCTCTCTCTCTCTCTCTCTACACTTTTTTTCACTACCATACCGCTCGATTCAATGGCTTGTAGTGCTTCGTTAAGAGTCTCCATTGAGACCCACAAGAGCTATATCCTAGAGGACGATAGTTTAGTAGGACTAAAGTCTGGCCGTGACTCAGGTCGTCCTAAGAGAGAACTGCAGGATTTTCCTATCTATGCCCCTGTAAAGGGTTTCCCTAGCAATTTAAGGTGGTCATGGTCATTGATCTCCCTTTGATCGATGAATAATGATACATTGGCTAAATTTTAGAACCAAATTTAGAACACAAATGACATGGCAGATGACTTGAGCTTCTTTATTTGGTGTCATGTCATTTGAGTTTCAATAAAGACTCCAAATAATATGTTGTCAAGTCATTTGAACTCATTACTGTTAATTGTAATTCTATGTCTCGTTCTCCTCTTTACTCCTTTTAGATAACAAAAAAAAAGACATTTTTTTTTTATTTTCACCATTAGCAACAAAAAAACAAAACCAAAAATTTATAATTCAAAATAATAAACAATATTATTTAAACTTAATTTACTAATCTAATTAATCACAATAATTAAATTAATATTATTATATTTTCAGTATGTTACCGAAAAATCCGTAAACTTATCATGGGTGAGATAACAGTCCCTCAAAGGAATATGGACATGGTAGCCAGGGACCATGCATGTCGGATAGTGATCTCTCTTTCGTAGTGATGTTATCTGTCTGGTACCTTCATTTGGGATTGTGATTATGATTGTGATTGTGATTGGCATTGAGATTGAGATTGAGATTGAGATTGGGATTGGGTTAACTCCAACTTGTTTTGGTCATCGTCACCAGTTGCATCAGCACCGCTAACGTTGCTGTTATGATCATCATCCATTACATTTTTTCACACTTGTAAACGCATTGTTTTTGGATTTTTTTTCAATGGATCTTAATAAGGAAGGCTCCATGGTGATATGACTTCAATCTTAGAATCACCAAATACAACGATGGGCTTCGTTGGCGTGTGTTGAGTCTCATGTCAAAAATTTACATATGACTTTGGATATATAAGTATTGGAATGAGGATCTCATGTAAAAATTTTTTGGCTTGTTATTTTAGGTGAATTATTCTTAGAGATCTTACATAGGTCCCAGACGAGGACGACATTTAAGTATATAGGATAAATTGTGCTGATCGGGTAATAAATTACTCTGAAAAATGTATGTTTATCTAATTTATCTTATCTTTAAATTTTCATTATATAATGTGGGCTTAGCACAAAACGAACAATATTATACATTGTAATCCTTGATATTACACCAAAAATCCAAGGCTATACATAATATAATATAAATGTTGTTAAAAGGAGGAAGCAAAAATAGGATCTGTTTGATTTATATCATAAAAATTATTTTTTATTTTTGAAAATAGTTTCTAAGAGAAAAATTGTTTTTGTTTTTGTTTTTTAAAAACTAAGAACAAAAACTAGATAAATTTAGAGAATAAGTTAGAACTATTTTGTGTGTTTTTAAAAATAAATTTTCTAAAATTAAAAACCACACTACCACCTTCACACTTCCACCACCATATTTTTGTTTTTATTATTTTTTTGGTTATAAGTTCTATTATTTTTTATTTCATAGAATTGTTTTGGGAATCATATAACCAAACAAATTATGCGACAAAAAATAAATAACAAAAATATTTTTTAAAACTCTTTTCAAAAATGATTTTTGAATACTATTTTTGAAACGTAAATCAAAGATGTCGTAGATTATTCACCACTTCTAATGGAATTGGTCATAAAAAAGGGTGAGCTAAGGAAGAGCGTTCAGTGAATATCCCGTTAGGCCCTTATCGGTAAGATCATAAGACCCTTGATCACACCTAAAACATCTCTCAGGACTAAACTTAATTAAACTAACATAGCGGCTAAAGCACTAATCTCGAGCGACATGGCTCAAGCCAACAGTAGAGCTGTTCTTGCATAATTAGTTGTTTTGTTGGAAGGAGGCAATGGGGTCGGATTAGGACAACCACCTCGCAGTTTAGTTTTGGGTATGTTAAGGGGTGTGAGTGTAATTATTCTAGCTTTTTTGGAATAATTCAACTACCCTCACACATGCTTAAATGATAATGTGCCCGCTAAAGAAAAGAAGAGGATAAGGTTAGCACTCGCAATTACTTGAAAGTGAGAGTGACTCGTTACTGTCATACCCTCACCTCTTAGAGATCCATAAGGAATCCTAATCGAAGTTTTTAATTGTTATTCATATTATAAAAAATAAAGTTAAGCATAGAGTTGAGAACAATTAATCAGCATCAAATAAGAGAGAGAGTTTGTTGGTGGTGGCTGTGGAATGGCCACATAAACATAAACAACGACTTCGTCTACTGGTTTCAGGGTTGGGAGCATGAGCTAAAAGATAAGGCAAAAATAGAGTGTTTCATATAACTGTAGTCATTGGATTATCAGAGTCTCAATATTGAATATATTTCACTATTAATACAATTGTTACAATGCATTAAGTCTCGAAATTATATCTCAATAGCATTAGTGCAAAAAAATAGTTTCATCTGGTATTGGGCTATATAAAAAATTCTGAACTTGTTTGTGTCATGTTTAGTAAGGATCCATATATTTATGAGTCTAACCTCTTTTCTCATTTAACACATCAAATTTATTAATTTTGTATTAATTATTTCGTAAAGTTCACAAATTGCGTCTGAAAATGCTAGCCAGTTGCAAAGATTTGCTCATAACATTAAGCGAAAAATTGTCTTCGGTATCATACTCAAAATTATAATATTTTTAAATTCAAGATAAAAATCATAAAACAAAAATTACAGTGGATTGAAATAGTTCATGATCAATCATGAATCACCTCAAACAACTATAATTTTAAATCTAAAAATTATTAATTCTCGAAAGTTATAATTATTAATATGATATCGAATTTCTTTTAGTACAATAACGTTATACTAACATTATAAATAGGAGTAATATTATTTTTACTTAAAAATTTAATATAATTTGTTGACCTAATATTATGGTTTTATTAGAACTATTGGATTAACACTAAGTTTCAATATTTAATAAACTGATAGGACCCGCAATCAATCTAAAAATTATAATAAATTAAATCAATAAATAAGTACAATAACATTGCTCTATAAATAGAGAAAATATTCAGTATAACGATGACACCATGTCATCACTGCATCGTGGTATTACGATCTAATTAAAAGACCAAAAATAAATAAAATAAACCTTATTATTTGCATAATTATCAAGAATTAATCAATAAAACATAAAATTAATAAAATTTATTTTATCTATTTGTTATCTTCTGATAGAACGGTGATACCATGTCAGGATAACAACGCAGTGTCACCTCTTCATTAAATATTTACTCTTATATATTGCGCCTCAAACGTACGAAGACTGAGAGGTATAATAAACAACACACAACCACAAACAACTATTCACATTTCACACCCAACCCCCGTCTTACAAGCAATACACACATACACTCGCACAGTCTCAACAACTACCTATCAATTTTCAATCAATCCACAGTTCTAAGCTCATTTCTTGTTAGTTTTCGCAAATGGGTCACCCCCTCTTGGAAGCTCTCAACGTCCGGGTCGTCGGCTCCGGCGAGAAAGTTCTTGTTCTCGCCCACGGCTTCGGCACCGATCAATCGGCCTGGAATCGCATTCTTCCCTATTTCTTGCGCGACCACCGTGTCGTACTCTACGACCTCGTTTGTGCCGGAAGTGTCAATCCTGACTACTTCGATTTCCGGAGATACACCTCTCTTGATGCCTATGTCGATGATCTTCTCCGCATACTTGATGCTCTTGGTATTGATCGCTGCGTCTATGTCGGTCACTCCGTCTCCGCCATGATCGGAATTTTAGCCTCCATTCGCCGCCCGGAGCTCTTCTCCAAACTTATCCTCATCGGCGCTTCGCCCAGGTATAACAAAAATAGTTCTCTTTAATCTGGTTGGTTGATGAGAACGTGAAGGAAAAACAGAGTAAAGGAAGATTCTGAGAAGACGATTCCATTTTCACCTCACTTTTTGCTGTTTCTTTCTGTATTGGTAGCCAAAAAAAAAAACATTATAAATTAAGAGTGAAAATAGGCAGATCCGAAATGGGTATGTCTTTTTCTGTTTCAATTCCTAATAAAGTGCGAAGAACATTAGTCAACTATGTCTTGAGCATCTGTTTGACAAAAATCCCAATCAATAATTACTTGTTTAGTACTGATTTTCAGTGGAAATTTGTGCATTTTTTTTAAGGTTCTTAAACGACAAAGACTACCATGGTGGATTCGAGCTAGGAGAAATCGAGAAAGTTTTCTCAGCTATGGAGGACAATTATAAGGCATGGGTGAGCGGCTATGCTCCCCTGGCTGTCGGCGCCGATGTGCCTGCGGCGGTCCGAGAGTTCAGCCGGACTCTGTTCAATATGAGGCCTGATATAACCCTATTCGTGTCGCGAACTGTTTTCAACAGCGATTTGAGGGAGGTGTTGGGCTTGGTGAAGGTGCCATGTTTCATAATTCAGACGGCGAAGGACGTCTCTGTGCCGGAGTCGGTGGCGGTGTATCTGGAGAACCACCTTGGTGGGCGGAACAAGGTGGAGATGTTGAACATTGAGGGCCATTTGCCCCACCTGAGTGCGCCGGCGTTGTTAGCCCAGGTGCTCCGGCGAGCCCTGTCACGGTGACTGAACTCTTAGTATTGGGTCAGTGGTGTGGGCTGTTTGGTACGCGGGCCACAAAGTTTCTAACAACAACTAGGAAATAATGGTGGAGCTGTTGACACCTAGAGTGAATAAGTTGTGGACATGAATTTGTGATCTTTTGCTATTAGTGTTTGAATCTTATTTTGTTAACTAAACATTTGACTATGCTTTGTTTTATTTTTCCAATCTTATTTATTACAGCGAGTTATTTGTTTCGGATCCTCAACTTTAAGATCTAACTGTTCCTGTTGTTGGCCATTACCTCACCCGCCAAACTCTACGTATGCTTATAGTTGAATAAATAAAATTAAAAAGTTGAAATGATTTTATTTTACTTCTCCTTAGAAATTTTACCTTCAACTTCCTGTTATTTTTTTTTTATTTTTCCACTTTTGTTATTGTTATTATACACAACGAACGTCTAATTAGTTATTATCCATAGTGGAGAAATTTTAATAAACAACTTTTATGTTAATCCAATACAAGTAACTTATGAGATCAATAAATTAGATTAATAAATCAAGTTCAACATATATTAATGATGATTTTTTAAGGGAAGAAAGACTTAAATATTAAAGATGGTAAATTCAACACATTGAACTCTCTTATTGTACAAGTAAGGCTAATAATTAAATCAAGTTATTCAGATTCAGTTTATTTTGAGTTCGGTTTAAACTCAAAACAAACTTGAACAAGTTTTTAGGATTATTTATATGTAAAATAATCGAGCTATTCAGATTCGACTCATTTTGGATTTAATTCGAAGTCAGCTAATTTTTTAAATAAGTAGAACTTATACAATTTTTTATACTTGTTTAAAAAGTAAATTTGATATGCTCGCCTCGAACTACCAAAATTCGTATACCTACCCTTGCTAGCTTGTGGTTTATAGTGGTTTATGGGCTTTGGTTTATAGGTCAACTTTGATTCAATTTTAACCCTTCATAGTTTAAGGGTAGATTTGGTAACAAATTATTTTGGTTTTTATTTTTTGTCAAAATAAAAAATACGTTTTGTGAATATTTTTGTTTTGTTTTACTAATTGATTTGTAAACAATCACAAATATTGAAACACATGAAGATAGGAGCTTCCAAAAGCAGGAAAAAAAGAAAAAACACACGTTGAGAGGGGAAAAGGTTAAATGATGTCCTGTCATCAAACCCCATTAGAAGTAATTTAAGAGAATATTTGTCTAGAATATATCAACCTATTTTTCTACCACCTCTTCCCCTCGTCTCTGTGTGTCTTTCTATCTCTTGTCTCTTGCTTGTCGAAGGAAAATCTAGCGTTGTTTCTCCGATATTGCTCTTTTCTCTAGTGTTGCTCTCTTATCCAGTGCTGCTCTTTGACTTCAAAATATATATATATATATATACACTAGATATTGCCTACGCCTGAAGACATAGAGTAATAAAAAAAATACTTAACAATAAATATATTTGTATTCACATCCAAAATCAAATTATAAACATAAAATAGAGAAGAAATGAATTTAAGCACAAGTTGTAGTTGGGATGAGCGGTGATAATAGAAGTGGGTGGTAGTAGTGGTAGTAAGAGATAGTGATGATTGTGGTGAGTGATGACGGCTGTGGTAATGATGACTGTCGTGAGTGGCAACGATGATGGTGATGGTGAGTTTTGGGTGATGATAGTGATAGTGATAGTCATGAATGACGGTGGTGGGTGACAATGATAGTTATTGGCAGTGGTGGTGGGCAATGACGATGGCAGTGGTGGGCGATGACAAGTGCTTCTGGGCGACAATGTAATAGGTGGTGGTAAATGGTGGTGGTGGTGTTGGTGGTAGGTGTTGGGAGTTTGGTGCTAATGGTTGGTGGTGATAGTGGGTTGTGGTAGTGGATGATGATGGGCAATAATAATAATGGTGGGTGATTGGTAGTAATGATAATAAATATAAGAATGAGACGATGGTGGTGATAGATGGTGGCGGTGGATGACAGTAATAGGAATCAATGGTGGGGCAGTGATAGCGGTGGGGTGGCAGTGGTGATGAGGGTGGTGGGGTGGCAACAATGGTGATGAAGCGGTGGAGATGGGGGTGCGACAGTGATAGTGGTGGTGGTGTTAGGATAAAGATGACGATGATGGTAGGGGTGGGAGTGGTTGTAGTTGTAATGGTGGTGGTAGGGATGGCGACAGTGGTGCTGGTGGGGGCTGTGGCGGCAGGGGTGCTAGTGATCGCGGTGAGGTGACGACAGTGGTGATGGTGGTGGGGATGGTGATGGTATTGGTATTGTGTGTTGTGTATGCATTTGTGTGGGTGGGTGGGTCAGTGTGTGTTCGTGGGTCATTTTGTGTGTTGTATGTGCACGAGTATTGTGTGTGTGTGTGTGAGTTTTGATTTAAAAAAAGAAAGAAGGAGTTTTTCATATGTGTGTTTCTGTATTGTGTGCATTTGTGTGCGTAGACATTTGTGTGATTCTTAATAATTAGTAAATGTGATTTATATATGTAGAATATGTCATGGAATAATATGATTTTGGAAAGAGAGGGATTCAACAATATTTCATATCTCATTCAAAGATGTTTGAGTTGTGTGCAGTGTTGAAAGAAAGATTGCCTACTCATTCAATAATGTTGGGTTTGATTAATTCTTATGAGACAAATCATTGCCGCAGTTAATTCCTAGGAGTATATAGCTTATTAGAGTTGAGTGGAGTTATTTCTAAGATTTGATCATAATTGGTAGCAAGTAGCTTGGGGACTGTATTGGAAATTATCTTGTTTTGATTTTTGCTGGACATGGCTGAACTCCATTGCTTAAGAGAATACCTTAAAGTTTTTTTTCTTTTTTTCTTTTTTTTTTTGTGTAAAGCTCTATTTATTTTATCAATAAAAATTCAAGTTTTATTATAATTTGGATCTTATTTCATGGGTTGATGGNTGGGGACTGTATTGGAAATTATCTTGTTTTGATTTTTGCTGGACATGGTTGAACTCCATTGCTTAAGAGAATACCTTAAAGTTTTTTTCTTTTTTTCTTTTTTTTTTGTGTAAAGCTCTATTTATTTTATCAATAAAAATTCAAGTTTTATTATAATTTGGATCTTATTTCATGGGTTGATGGATGTATTGAAAATTAGAATTTTGATGTGTTTATAGTAGGAAATTGATTATGTCTCAATAGTATTGTTCAACTAAAATATATAATAGAAATTAAAGTGATTATCAAATATGTTTTGTGTTTTAGTTTTTAGATTTTTTAAAACAAAAGCTGCAGCCAAACACATTATATGTTTCAACTTTTTACCACAGAAAAAAAAATTGATTTTATTTTTATTTTTATTTTTTTTTAAAAAAAACATAAAAATAAAAATATTACCAAACACTCTAAGGATTGTTGGGTAATGGGNACTGATTTTATTTTATTTTATTTTTCTTTTAAAAAAACATAAAAATAAAAATATTACCAAACACTCTAAGGATTGTTGGGTAATGGGATATCGGGGCCTAACAAAATAGATTTAGAGAAAATGGTTCAAAGAACCTCTAAATTACATGTTTATATGAAAAATTCAGTCCCAAATTTTTAAACCCAGTCCACAGCTGGCCCGAAAATTAAACCCTATAATTATGGGTTTCGTCACACCTAGGGGGTGAGTAGTTTTGGAAAGATGAGTAAAGGGTTAAAGATCCAAAAGACAATTATATCCCTTAAAATGGCTACGAATTTAATTGATTAAGGATAAAATAGTTATTTAAAAGACAAATAGTTGTTAATAATTATGATATATTCGTGGATCCTAAATGTGTATGTGTTACATACCAAATATGGGTATAAACTGAATTAAATGTTGAATCTTATTTTTAAAAAGATGAATTTAAGTTTAAAAAAATTCAAAAAAATCAGTTTAAATCTCTCCTTAAAATTCATCCAAACAAGCTCAAAGTTATTGAGCCTTATTATAGTAGTGGTACAATCCACCGTCACCGGTAGGTGTCTATGTATTCAACGATGGTGATTAAGTTGACAGAAATGGACAAATTTTAAAACTATCCTCATCAATCAAGTTGTGCTTTTATTCGCATGAAAAGTTAAAAAGAATCTTCACATGAATTTCACGTGATGACATTAACCATTTTATCTACTTTGTTTTATATGAACCCCCAAGTCTTCCTTTCTTGTCTATTGGAGATAATTTTATGGAGTTGACTCCTGTATACCATATCATTATTTATTATTTTTGTGAATATTTTTTTTTATTATTGTGATTCCAAAAAAAATAATAAAAATAATTACCATAAAGTGTTAAAAAAACAGTCACAAAAGTGGTAAATTATCCATAAAAGTGATAATTTTTTTTTTGCACAAAAAAAATGATAAAAATAGTTGTCATAATAGTAGTAAAAATACCCACAAAGTGATATTTTTTTTATTATAAAATGACTCACAAAAATTATAAAACACCCGTTAAGATAGTAAAATTTGAAAGTATAGTACCGAAATAAATCTTGTTTGAAGTTAATTTATTAAATTAATCACTCACAATTATTGAATTGATTGTGGCTTCCAACATATTTTAAACTCATTACTAATTCAATAATTGTGATGAATTAAGTTAATAGATTATGTTACCAATTTTGATCAAAATCTCATATTTGTATAAAAAAATCTTTTGTGTTGTCTTTATTTTGATTGATCCGTAATATCAACAATATAATTGGCTGATAAGCTCTATTTCGTCTCGTCTTAATTTAAGTCTCTATCTATCGTATAGTCCTCCGTCCTAAGAACATGATATTGGGAGAATTGCAATTCTATCTGAATAATAATATCAATTCTATCTTATAGTATAATGATTTTCTTCATAATACTAATTTTACCCCCATTATTAAATGTAATGTGATTACCCTTCTGTTAATTGGATAAAATACAATACAAAAATCTAATATTTTGAAAATGTTACATAACTCAAATGAAATCTAAAAATTAAAACACAAATGCATATCATCTTTTGAATCAATGGATGAGTGGGCGATGAGTGGGCTCCACTGAAAAAATTAATGGGATTCACTAATCCAAGGGATGATATGCATTTAGATTGTAATTTTTTGGGTTTCATCTGAGTTTTGTAGCATTGCTCATGAAAATATATCATGTAATTGTAGGTTAAATTAACAACTATTTAATTATTTCACAAGTGAATAAGGAAAAAAAACACAGAAATTTCTGGTAGATCCACTAATAAAGAAACAATATCAATGAAATTTTAGATAATATAATGTTATTTTTCATGTAAAGCAATTTACATGAGTGTAGATAAAAAATTAATGGGGAGTAAATTGTGATTTTTG